ATCCCCTGACCCTTGGAACATATCATTATGGATCATAACTTGGACGGATTGGTACAGGAGGATCGGTACTAGCATTGCTGGTATTTTTGAGAACTCCAGTAATTACCAACCCAGATTGTGGCCAGGATGGAAATTTACTGATGCCTGAAGTCAATCATCTCGCAACCCTACAAGCAGCGGTACCAAGTGAGACCCTTTGAGCTCTCCTGGGCCGCAGTGGGCTGCGCCCAGTATTTCCCTCTGGGCGGGACGCCTCTCAAGAGTTTGCGAACTCTCAAGTTTGCAAGGTTTGCGAACTCTGAGAGGTGTCCCACTCAGAGGCCTGGTGACAGGACCTGGGCTAAACTCCGGGCGCCCCTCACTCCTTGAGGCTCGACCTTCGCCCGTTGAGACAATCATTTGAAGTGAGTATTTCACGGAGCTCAAGGGGAATTTTTAACAGGTACCTTTATAGGCATATTGTGTGTGTGTGTGTATCGATTCAAATATTGTAGTAAATCCTATTTAATCACTGTGTAAATGCTAAATTAACTAATGATTAATTGCTGCTAAATTCCTATGATTCTCTCTTTAACTGTGAATAAACCTTAAACTGCTGCTAGTCATACATAATCCTTAGACATCATTAGACAAGTCTGGGACTAGGATTGGATCCAGCTGCACCTAGGCTCCTCTCTGAGAAGTTTAGAAAGCAAGGGGGTCCATTCTGAACCTTGTGACTCAACGGGAGGGCCTCCTTTATCCCCTTCTATTTTCAGTCTCTGTATAAATCATCCTAATTTGCTTCTACTTCATTTTTTTTCTTTATATATATTCCATTCATTTAATAAGTAATAGAGTGAATGTTGCCATTGAACCTTGTTAAATCACTCTTTTACAAATTTCTATTAAAATCACTTTTTGCAAATATCTTTGACGGTAATTCTTCAAGAGACCTAACCACTCATCCATGACACATGTGAAAGGGAAAGAAAGTTCTTGACGTATAGTCAAAGAATAATTCACATTATCTTAAAGACGAAGAGCACTATGATCCAAGAATAACTTTGATGAGACGTGATTCTCTCAAAACCTGGCTCTTAGCATCCCTATAAAACACCGTGAAGGTTCAAACCCGAGCAGGAAGGTGAAGGAGCCTCCGCCCTTACTGCCGGGGCAGGGGTACAGCAGCGCTGCCCACGCAGCTTATGGGGATGGTCGGGGGCACAGAAGCTGCTAGGACACAGGACTGGGAACGATCCCAGTGGGGCTCCACAGGTCTTGCCCTCCGGCATGTTCGCCGGGCAATCAGACTCCCAGGGCTACACACCGTGCTTCTGAAGAAATGACTGCGGTCTAACCACAAATACAGTGTTTTAACAATCAAATTCCTCTCAAATGTTTCTTCCAAACATCACTATGTCTTAGGAACTTTTAGTTCCTAAAAACCTGGATGTGTTGTAAAAATAATAAAAGATAGCCAGCTTCCCCCCCCCCATCAATTTTGTGTATAAATACATAGTTAAGGACCTACATGGCACATCATATAACAACAATAATAGTAAAAAAAAATTGAGGCTTATATTACTTCAGACCTGAACGGCGAATCTCAACATGCAACGTTAAAAAATTTGGGAAGTGATCATATATTAATGCCATTTTATCTAAAGAAAACAAAACTATTTTTCAGCTTTGGATATAATTAGTTTAATCACATGAGACGCAGCTCGCGCAGTGAGCAGCTGAACCGACAGCTGAATGCAAACAGCAGTGAATACAAGGAAGCTTTGCAGCACGTGGCAATCGTCACGGGTCATCCCCCTGTCCTGCCGACAGCAAGTGCCAGCATTGGGGCTTATTTCATAGCCTGCAGGTCATTAGGTCACTGTTAGATATGATTTGCTCGTCCAGAATTAAGCCTTACCATGCAAGAAGCTTTGTCCTTTGGGCATGTTCTTCTAGTAAGTTTAGTCTTACCAAAATTTGTATTATTTGGATTTCTTCATTGCAGACTGCAGGTCTAGTTTAAAAGTACATACATTTGCCAACACTTCTTCCTACCACGAGCAAGGAGAAACTCAAGCTCCGTGGCTAGAATGATGCCATCAATCACACCTTACTATCCAAGTAATGCTCTCTCTACCCCTGAAAGTTCATTTAACCACTCTGTAAACAATGCTCCAGTTATACAATATGTTCTCATTCACCAGACTACCTCTTCTAGTTGCAGCTTCACTAGCTGGCCACGTTTGCAGCATTTCAAATGTTTAACTTGGCAAACCACTGCTTTCTAGTCTAGGTCTACCATTTTTCCATTGTCAAAAACTGCCTACATGCACTGGAAATAGCCAGTACAGTTCAGGGTCAAGACTGGTTTTGCTTCCCGCAAGTCATAAAAAATACAAAGATGCAACAAGCAGTTAAACTGAGAGGTTCACATTCATCACTGAGATATAAAGCTACAGTTTTAACAGACCAAGGAGCATTTCAAAGCAACTGCAACAATAAATAGCCTTCTGGAAAAATTATTTACCCATCTTCAGAGAGAATTAAAAATGGCAAACCATGATCACGGGATCTTTTAAAGTGCTGTAGGATCCAAGCCTCCCTTCACAACAGAGCTCAAAAGTCTCTTTCCCGACTTAGCTGTCTCTGTGGCAGAGGAACAGGAGGTGCTTTACAAATTAATTAGGCAAATAATCTAGCAGTCAACGGGGATAAGCAACAGCCCAGCCTCTAGCCAGTGATCGGCTAGATTTGACATATTTATCTGCTTTGTCTTTCTGCCTTTCAGTTATTTGAAAGAGGCTGATCTATAAAATGTAATATTCGCCCTGGTAGTTTATGCTTGGCCCCAATACCTTACGCCTTGTTCTGGGTCTAAAAATGTTCATTTCAATAGATTGCAAGAGGAGCCCATGAGGTTTGGAAAGAAAGTGTCAAGCAAGCCACGCAGCAGGTAAGAATTAATGCTCTTGTCACAGCTCTTTCGGAGCACAAACATGCCATCGGGCTGAGATCGACACTGCCCACTTTCTTAACGAATTCCTTGGGGTCAATGAAATGAATGACACCTGACCTTCAACCCATACTGGTTGAAGGTACCATTTCCCAGTTGCTATAAAAGATATAAGTGCATATGCTGAATTTCTAGCACTAGACTTCTCCGGTCCTTTAATGCAGTGTCTTTTTAAACTGCGAGAAGAGTTGCACACACCTGAAGCTTGACTATCAGATTTTAAAACTGTTTCCTGTGAATATAAAATATGCCCTTTAAGACAGCTGGGAACAAGATTAAAAAAAAAACCAAACAGTTAAAGCAAGACTCACCACTTGTGACAGATTTAATGACTAGAGGTTCAGTGCAACAGAAGAGACTCTTGAATAGTTAATTACTAGGAACACAGGATCTGCCTTCTTCTATATTTAGCTTTAAATGCACTGTGTTCTAATCTGATGGAGAAAGGGTCAGGCTTTATAAGGCACTCCCTCAAGCCCTGGCCCAGGGAGAGCACAGGCACTTTCATCAAGAAACTGCAGCACAAGCCTGACCAAAACCAACCCAGTGATCCACACAACAGCCCGGGATTTATCTATACTACAAATAACACCAGGTATTGCAAATGAGATTTTCAAGTGCTGTTGCCACCACAACAGGAGGTGCCCAGATGATAGTTTAAAATTTACAAAAATGAATGCAATGCAAAAACTTTTTTTTTTTTAATCAAGAACACACCACCACCAACATAGAAGTGATGGCTGAAGGTTGTAAATTCAGGGTGGCAGCATATAAACCTGCACAGTACATTAGATTGCATTGCAGTGCAGCCTGCCTCACAGATGTCATGTAGCTATACAGCCTTGAAATCATAAAAGACCTTGAACTATTACATATATTTTCCACTTTGAAAGGTACAGGATCTGAGCAGGTCAAAGCCAAAGGCAAATTTTGAAATGCCAGCTAGAGAAGCCATAATGGTTTTCAGAGGGGTAAAGATCTTAAGGATGGGTATGGGTAGGAAGGAAATAGCCTCAAAAAGAACACCCAAACCACCAGTCAAAATGATATCTTGCAGCCCAACATCCACCAGGATTCGTACAAATTGCCAGCAGGAAAGACAGCAAGAGATGTGGAAATGATAGCTCCTTAGCACAGTCCTTTCACAGACTCCACTCTTCTACAGAAGATGGGAGAGGCTCAGCCATAGATGCTTTACTCTTGATTCTCCCTTTAGTATCCATAAAACCTCTTGTAGAAAACTCATGTGTTCAAATTCCATACCCAAATACTTTTTATTTTGTAAGCAGGTAAGTCAGAAGCTGGGCTGACTCAAGTGGGAGATGTCAGACAGCAGTACGGAACCAGGCACTACACTCCAGAACGAGCTCATTTTCCATAAAAACCTCAAAATGTCCAAGCCTGCTGATAACTAACTTGCAGCTACAAAATTTTTCAGAAAAATAAAAAAAAAAATGCATAACTTAAAACAGTTCCCCAAATTCCACTCCCACTCTTGTTAACAGGCTTCTACAAAACAGATTCATACTTAAAAATACAGAAGTTGTTGAGAGGGTACATTCTTCTGAAACTGCTTGAAGTCCACAAGTTCACCCTTCTCTAGAGTTGCTTCTCATTTACATGCTAAAGACCCTAAACAGTTAAAATAAAACTGAGGGACATCTACAATTGTAGATATCTAGACATATATGATATAGCATTTTCTATAATCGACCAATCCTTCTCACACAACTAATAAAAATTATAACAGAATTAATAAAACCAGAATTAATAAAATTAGTCTATAAAACCAGCAACAGATGAAGTTACTTCAGAGCTTCAGCAAGCTTGAATTTGCTTAACAAGTTAGAAAGATGCAGTCATTTATCCATACCACAGGGAAATTCTTACGATAATTAACTCCTAAACTATTGAAAGCCTTGATAAGGCTGAAGTTTCTACCAAGCTAAAATACTGGAAACATTTGTTCTTGGAAACATATTGCTAAAATTGAAAAAAAAAAAAAAAACAACCCAACAAAACCAAACAACTGAAAACCTTTAGCCAAACCAATACTATTCTTCTAAGCATGATTTTACACTTCTTTTAACCGAAATCTCAGAATCATCTGAGATTCTTCAAAAATGGTCACAATGAATTCAATAACAGTTGCTTCACAGCAGCGAAACTTCACGGCCCTAGTTATGGAGAGGGGGAAATCAATTCCAGACAACACAAAAAAAAAGAGCAACTGTTTCATAAAACTCCCTACCAAGATTTAACGACTCTATGTACGCAGGGCACTGTAACAAGGGTGAGGGAGCCCACGGGGGCAGGCGGTGGGTGACCCTTTGGGCCGCCCACCGGCGGGCTCCAGCAGCACTGCTCCACAGGATGCTGATGCTGCTGCAGGCACTTGTGCTGATGGCATTTGATTGACAGGGTGCTGGAGAGAGCTGCCAGAGCACCACCAACAGCACCACCAGCTTTCACAGGAACAGATGCTTGGCAGGAATTATTTCCATTCCCTTCCCTTGCTCAGACATCATGCAAGACAGGAAAACTCATCACAGTCAAATAAAATAAAAGCATAGATGGGGAGAGTTTCTATGAAGGAAAAACCCAGCCCACATATCAAGGTCAATCTCCCCCCTGCACCCCAAGAAGTGGAATATCCAGGACATTAACAGGCTTTAATGGGTCTTTTTCATCCAGCAATGTTACTAGGCGTTTTCATCCTCTCACTGTTACAGTTTCAGGCTTAGGATGAAAACCTAAAGAGGGTTTTCCTCTTCTTTCAGCAACAAGCCAAGGAGTTACGTTAAAAGCAAATTACCAAACTCGAGCAGCACGGAGGAAGAGCTGCCCTTGCACTTCTGCTGGAGAGGAAACATGTCAGCACACAGCCAGCAGCTGCCTCCGCTCCCCAGGAAGGCAGCAGGCAGCTAGATTATGAGCTAACAAAATCTGTAGGTGGGAAACTCATAAACCATTACCAGTACAGAGGAACAGAGCGATATAAGGGGACGACAGGACAGAGCGGATGCAAGGCAGCCGCCAGTTCTTGCCAAATCCTTGTCAGGCTTCCCACTTTCCACCCGGATACTGAGTCCCTGTGAGAACTCTCGCAGCTCCTCCTTTTCCACAGCCACTTCCCAACACCCGGGTGCGGCGAGAGGCGAGCAACCGCAACGCACATCAGTCACGCAGCCAGCACGGTTGCTGCAGCGTTCACCGCCGCGACAGCTGTGAAGCATTTTCTGCTTTAACACAGTTTTAGCACCCTCGTAAGCCTATGAAGTCCACCTCGGCGACTGACATTTCCCAGGTTCGGTCAGCGTGAAGGAAAAGCTCTTTATTTACACGTCCGAGGCAGTATGATGGCTAGCCTCCAACATGAAGAGCGGCCACAACACTTCCTACCTCCTGCTAATGCTCACTTCGATACCGTTGAAAAATAAGGAAATAAAAAGCTCTATTTGCTGCTTCCCAGGGTCCCAAGTGGTGAGGACAGGACCAGAACAGCGCTAAGAAGCCACGTCTCCTCTCTCCTCCACTGCACATCTGGGGAGCTGGCAAGACCAAGCCCCTCTCACTACACTTAGTAAGACATGCTGAGTTTTCTTTACGCAGGTTGACTTGTGCTATTTCATCATCCTTTTCTGACTCTTGCCCTCCATTCCTAAAGCACAGGTTTTTTTAAGAAGCGATTGAGAACCTTGAGGTCTGTAACTTCAACCATGATACAGATCAG